AAGAAGAAGAAGAAGAAGAAGAAGAAGGATAGATGAGGAAGATAGGTAAGTAGGTGGTAGGTAGATAGATAGATAGATAGATGTTAAAGTTCATTATCTGATCACTGTAGTCTCCAGCTGCTGTAACAAAACATTATAGGCATAAGCCCTGGGTTTAGGTCTCAGCACTACAAAATAATAAATAAAATAATAATAATATAAAACCCCTAGATGTTTTATATTATGTGGTGTGTGTGCGTGTGTGCATGAGAGAGAGAGAGAGAGAGAGAGAGAGAGAGAGAGAGAGAGAGAGACTTAATTTTTGGCAATCTAAGCAATAAATACAAGGCCTTGTGTGTGCTAAGCACATCTGTACTGCTAACACCCAGGACTTAAGATATTTTTCTTCACTCAGGAGACAGAGACAGGCAGATCTCTGCAAGTTCGAGGTCAGACTAGTATTTAGCAAGTTCTAGGTCAGCCAGGGCTAAAAAGTGAGATCCTATCTCAAGGGGAAAAAATATTACTTAATATACACATAAACCAAAAATAAAAAAATGTATGGATGTAATGATTCTTCAATAAAACAGCCGAATTGTTTAGGTGAAAAAGTCTGCAGTATTGGCACATCCCTGGAGAAGACGGTGCATCCTGAGTTCTACTAGCACATAGCCTGCCATTTCTGCACACATGCTGCACATGATCATTTCTGAATGTGGCATTCTTGTGCCTTCTAGAAGGTGTGTCAGATCTAGGGAGGACAATTAATTCCTTCCTGTCAGGGTCTGTTTCTCGCTGTAAATGGCATCAACTGACCCCTGATTTAAACTGAACGCCACCTTCCCTAACATGTGTTGCTTAGTAAAACTGTGTTCCTCCCCACCCCCACAAGGTCTCACTATGGCTAGTAGGTTTCTTCTATGGCATTTACTTGTTTCTGTAGACAACAAAGACAGGGCCGTACATATAGTACTTTTCAATAAGACTAAGCAACAGGCGATATTCTTCCCTGAGTCTTCTGGGAAAGTGGCCGTGAAGCAAAGACGAACTTGAAGGCTATGTGTTTCTGCTCTGTGCTCACGTGAAAGGCAGAGGTCATTTCTAGGGTCCTGATTAAGAAGAGGCCTTTTAAAAGCCTGGGATGCCGCTCGGTGGCAGCAGCCATGCCCAGTATGTACAAGGCCTTGGGTCCATCCTCAGCACTGCCAAAATGAACTGGAAAGCCCCTCCCCACCCACTGAGTGTGACTCACTACAAAGCCCATGGGAAAGCCCAGGGAAAGACATACGCTCTGAGGTGCCTGAAACCCCGACCTCAGGGAAACCGCATCAGGGAGGCCATCAGGTAATGCAGTTGCTGGAGCTACACACGTAAAGACCAGACTCAAGTCCGCTGCAAGAATAGCAGGAGCTCATTTCTCCAGACCAGGTTTCAGTTGTTTATAAACCACGTATGCCCAGGGTTTATAGTGTTGTTGTTGTTATTATTATTATTATTATTACTAGTATTATTTGTTTTGTAGTGCTGAGACCTAAACCCAGGATTTATGCCTACAATGCTTTGTTACAGCAGCTGGAGACCACAGTGCTCAGATAATGAACATTAGCATCTATCTATCTACCACCTATCTACCACCTACTTACCTACCTACCTACCTATCTATCTGCAAAGGCACCTAGAAAATTAGAATAAGACATCCTATCAAGTTGTGTGTGTAGTGTGCATGGGTGTGTGGTGTTTTGTAGTAACACCCACAAATTGTCCTCTAACTTCCATAAGTGTATTGTGGTACACGTGTACATGCACACACACACACTACATATATACATATAGAGATACTATACACATACATACCACATACATACCACATACATCATACACACACCACATACACACACATACACTACACATACACATATCACATACACAACACAAACACCGCATACACCACACACACACCACATACACACCACCACACACACCATGCACATGACACACACACACACACATACCACATACACCACACTCACATACCATATACACCACACACACATACCACACACACATACCACACACACACCACATACACCATACACACCACATATACCACACACACACCACATATACCACACACACATACCACATACACCACACACACATACCACATACACCACACACACACCACATACAACATGCACACATACAACACACACCATATAAACCACACACACTACACACACATACCATACACACCAGTATGCATTTTCCAGACTTGCTGGTTTGCTCTGTTTTCGTTTGAGACAACAGTTTCGAGTCTGAGGATTCATGAAGTCAGGACTGTCCCTTTGGTCTGGGCATTGGTAGAGGCACTGTCCTGAGGGCTTCTACCTTCACTGTTTATTCCCACTTCCCCCATCTTGCAGCACTAACATCACTACCATTTCTTTACAGATGAGAGAGCTGAGACTTTCAGCCTTCTGCCATCTTCCTCCACCGCACTCTGCCACAGACATATCCCCCCTCCCGCCCCGGGCAATCTACATAGCAACTGATGCTGCTATGGCAAACTCTGATGTTTCTTTTAGACCAGCACCTTTACATTGTAATCAGTTATCGCTGGAATGTCTCCGCCTTAGGACAGTTGTGCCCAGCCTATGGACGGTGAATATGGCCCAACATATTTGTAGATAGCAACGTTGTTTCACAGTGTCTGAAGTTTGGATACCTCTAGCTGCTCTGACAGAATACCTGAGACTCAGTGACTTATAAAGAATAGAATTACTAACAACCTCCACAGCAGCAGGTACAAGGGAGTCACTGCTGAGGGAAGAGGGCTAAGCCAAAGACCTCTGCATGACAGGGTGTGAATTAGTGACCTCCGCTGGAGCAGGCCCAAGGCAGCAACCTCAGCAAATCCACGCAAGCAGCCGCTGTGGGAGCAGGCCCCAATGATCCCCAGTACTGCAGAGTGACCCCAGGGAGTGCTGAGAGACCTCCAGGAACAGAGTGACCTCCGGGGTGACTGGAACCATGGCCCTGACTGCACCATGAGGAGCAACCATCTGAGGCTTGGATCCACTGGCACTTGGAAGATTGATGGCCAGAGACACAGACAGTCCCAATTACACCAATCAGAGGAAAAGATGGGTAGGCAAGGTAAGAACACATGCAACACCACAAAGAGCAACACGACACCAATAAAAACTAGTGGCCCTACAACAGCAAGACTTGAACAATCAAATATAGATGAAGCAGAAGAAAATGACCTAAAAAAAAAATCACTTTTGGAGACAACAGTTTCACTCTATGCCACAGGCTAGTCTCAAACTCAAAGTGATCCTCCGGCCTCTGCCCTGTTTTCCAATATTCTAGTTGTGTCATAACAAAAGAAATACATTTCATGTAAAAGACACAAAAGATGCAGACATTAGCATAAATTATTAAAAAGTTCCCTTTTCACCAGGATGGGTGGCGCTAGCCTATAATCCCAGCATTTGGGAGATTCAAAGCCTGTCTGGGAAACTGTGAGTGCAAGGCCAGCCTGACCGTGTTAGGGAGCCCCTGCCCAGATAAAAAGTGAGAACAGTATTAGGGTTACATCTTCATGGCAGCGTGCTTGCCCAGCATGTGCAAGGCCCTAGATCCAATTTCTAGCATCACACACACACACACACACACACACACACACACACACACGTGCGCGCGCACACGTACATGTGAGCACACGTTTCCCTTTACAGTCTCACACATTTTTGGCAACAGGCTATAGTTTTGCTGCAGTGAGAACTTACCACCAAGGGTTCTGATTATCCCTACCCTCCACCCCCATTTCTTTTGTTTTAAGATAGGATCTCAAAGTTCCAGGCTATTCTGGAACTCACTATATAGACCAAGCTGGCCTCAAACTCACAGAGATCTGTCCACCTCTGCCTCTAGATTGCTAAGATCAAAGGTATGTGGCACCACATTTGGCTTTTCTACCCTATTTTTATTTCATTAAAAATTGATCATAGGGGGCCAGTAAGACGACTCTGAGGGGAAAGGCACCTGCTGCCAAGCCTGAAGACCTGAGGAGAATCAACTCCCCAAGTTGTCCTCTGAACTTCATACAGATGCGACAGCACGTGTGCACCCACATACATACAAACACGCACACAAAGTAAACTTTTTAATTTATGATTTATTTCTTTTACGTGTATAAATCTTTTGCCTGCGTGTATGTCTGTGCACTATGTGCGTGTCAGTGTCGTTGGGGTGAGACAAAGGAGTTGGGTCTCCATGCGACTGGAGTTACAGGCGATTGTGAGCTGCCATGTGGGTGCTGGGAACCAAACCCAGGTTCTCGGCAGGAGCAGCCAGTGCTCTTAACCCTGAGACATCTCTCTAGCCCCACAAAGTAAAAATTTTTAATATTAAAAAAGAATGTTCATCTATTCACTCCATGTGTGGCAGTGATTAAAATTAGAGAAGGTACAAAAACATTAGCATCACACTGCCCTCCTGTGTCTCATGTACAAAACGCACACATTATTGGCCAGGGGAGAAACACTGGAAAAATCCAGCTCTGTATCTCACAATGATTCAAGGTCTTGAGACCCCTTCAAGAGCTGCAGACACAGCCAGGGCCACAGAGACGTTGTGGGAGCCACCGTCTGCTACACAACCATCCTCACCCACTGAGAGCAGTGTCCTGAAGGTCTCCAGCATCACATCACGGTACAGCTTCCTCTGGGCAGAGTCTAGCAGCCCCAGCTCCTCCTGGCTGAAGACCACAGCCACGTCCTTGAATGTCACTGCCTCCTACAACACCAAACACATGCCCCCTAAATCTTTCGACAAAGGGTAGCTGAGGCTGGGATGGGGCACGGGCATGGAGTACCTGCCTGGCATCCACAAAGCCCTGGGTCCCACCCGCAGCAATACAGGCACTGGGTGTGGGGTACAGTGTCCCATGCCAGTACATGGGAGGCTGAGACAGGAGGGTGACTTGTCAATTGGAAGCCTTACTGAGTTCCAGGACAGGATGGAACCCTGTCTCAAAAACATAAAACAAACAAAAAGATCACTTTCTATATGGAGCTCAATTGTCCATTTTCTTATGCGTTAAAACTGCAACATTAACAAATATTCCATTTTGGGCTGGAAAAATGGCTCAACAGTTAAGAGCACTGGCTGCTCTTCCAGAGGACCTGGGTTCAATTCCCAGCACCCACTTGGCAGCTCACAACTGCCTGTAGCTTCAGCTCCCTGGAAGCTGACACCTTTACACCAATGCACATAAAATAAAGTTAAAATAAATTATAAAAAAATCCAAACATTCCATTTTAAAATTACAGTGTATGAGGCTGACTTCCTTTTCAACTTTTTTTGCTGTCATATTCTTTCCCTCAAATGAATATAAAGACCCTTGGTTCTTCATGCCATAGACAACATTGAGCCTATAACAAAAACCTGGGCTAACAAGAGGCAGCAAATTTGAGATTTGCTGCTAAGCCAGACATCCCAGGTTCAAGTCCTGGGAGCCGCGTGGTGGGATGGAGAACTGACTCAGCCAGTTGTCCTCTGAGCTCCACATGTGCTCTGGCAAGCACACGAGCACACTCACACTCAAAATCAATGTTAATATATTTTCACAAGTTTACTAACCATGTTTATTTCCTCTTTGAGTTTTTGTTGTTGTTGGCGGTGGGTTTTGTTTGTTTGTTTGTTTGCTTGTTTGTTTGTTTTTTGGGGGGTTTGTTTGAGACAGAGTCTCTGTATAGCCTTGGCTGTCCTGGAACTTACTCTGTAGACCAGGCTGGCCTCGAACTCACAGAGATCACCTGCCTCTGTCTCCTAAGTGCTGGGATTAAAGATGTGCATCACCAGACCCCTCTCCTCTCTGTATTTTATTATTTCTTCTGAGACAGGGTCTTGTAGCTTAAGCTGGCCTCAAATTTGATATAGCCCAGGATGACCCTGCACTACTCTAGTCCTCCTGCCTCTATTTCCCGAGTACTGGGATCACCAGTGACACCATGACTGGTGTATGTGGTGCTGGGGATTGAACCTGGGGCCTCATGCATGCAAGGCAAGCACTTTACCCATTAGGCTAGGCCCCTAGCCCCATGTTCATTTCTCTTTGGCACTTTGCCTGTCCCTCTATTTTAACTAGTACATAGCTTATGGCTATGTAAAATTCTATTGACAATGTTAAGCTTAGTGTTTGTTCTGCACTGCTGGGGATCAAAGCCAGGCACTGAAGGAGCACGGCAAGTGCTCTGCCCAGGCTAATTTCTAGCCCATACTGCCAGCCCTTAGCATCCATGTAGTAGATAGTCTCCCTCTTATTCTTGTCTAGCTTTGTGTATAGCAGAGTCACAACCTGAATGATGCTGTCACGGGCTTTTCTAGTCTGTGATTGTTCATCCAATCATATTTACATTTTATCTTTATCGTTTTTAAAAACCATCTTTATTAGTAGTAATTATGTGTATATGGGGTGTGTATGTGCTACGTGAGTGCAGGTGTCCTCAGAGGCCATACGAGGGCATCATGTCTCAGGGAGCTGGAGTTACAGGCTGTTGTGAGCTACTTGATGGAGGTGTTGGGATCCAAACTTGGGTCCTCTGGAAGAGCAGCCGGTGCTTTTAACTGCTGAGCCATCTCTCCAGCCTTTGTTTTTATTGCTTTATTCATCCACTTATAAAGTGATAAAAAGAAAATAGAAATTAAGTGACACAGGGTGACTAACATCTGGCACCGCAGGGCTTCTTCTCAAATGTCAGCAATTCTCCTTAATACTTTCTAAGAAGCAAGGAGATATGTGGAATTTTTGAGAAATGAGATGAGAACTTAGGGGCTAGTGAGACAGCTCATGGGTTAAGGTGCTTGCCACCAAGCCTGGGAAACTGAACTGAAGGAGAGAGCCACAAGTTGTCCTCTGACCTCCACATGTACACCACACTGTGGCAACGTACACCTGTATACAGCCACACCCACACAACACATAAATCAATAAATGTAAGAGAGAGAATTAAAAAAACCAAAACAGTCAGTCCAGCTCACCTTGTACTTGATCATTCTGTTCTCCCAATGAACGGCTGCGTCTTAGGAAGGTGCATTGATGGGAGAGAAAAGAACCATCAACATCTGGCCGGGGTGTGACCAGCCAGCTCCCATGGCAGCATGCTGTGGATAGCAATGGTGCTCCCTCCTCAGGGAGGCTGATTCAGACAGCACTCGCCCCTGCAGCTGAGAACCCCTGGCCCAGGAGAGACAACCAACCATTTGCTCCAAGAGAACACTCCCTTCCCAGCCTCTGAGTCAGACTTTGACACTGGAACAGTGGAGAACGGCGGTCAAGTCAGTGCTCTGGGAATCAGTGCACAAATGGCCAGCTTTTCAAATCATGCCATTTTGCAAACTCACTGAGTTGAGAGGAGAGCCATGGAAGACTTCACTATGGAAACAGAGACAAATGAATGAAGTCCCGCCTCTGGGAAATAAGGTAGCCATATTTTTAGAATCAACATAATTAAAATTAACAAACTACAGGAATCATATTTGCTGGGCAGAAACAAGAGCTTGGTGTGATGTCACACACCTGCAGTTCTGGTACTCAGGAGAGACTGAGGCAGGAAGATTGCTTTCAGTTCAAGTTGGCCTGGATTCCACAAGGAGATCCTATCCCAAAAGTCACTATAAAAGCTAAAATGCTATTGTTTGGCACATCAGGGGCTACCCAAGTAGCACATTAGCACATGCGTGCTAGCACGCTGCTCCAGAGGTTTCTCACACTTACCTGCGATGAAGCTGCTGTGTGACCTCAGTCCCAACACCTAGCCTACTGTGCGCATCTACAGCTATAGAAGGGACAGAAACAGAAAGCAGCCCTATGGTTATGACGGGGAGTAAGTGAACACACGCGGCCAGCACCTTGGATGAGGCACTTGGTATTTTAGGGTGTTCTTACCGACAAAGATGACAGCTGTTGCACCAATGAACACACAAGGTCAGAGGCAGGTGGGGTCCCCGTCCCAGCTTCATCCTGCAGTCAGCATTCCAAGCTTTGTCTCTCTGTTTCTTCTAATGTCGAAAACAGATGGGCAGGAGTCACAGAGAGAGAATGAGCGCTGACAGAAAGGGCGAAGGCAGATAGCGGAGAGGGGTCAGAGATGAAGGAACTGCTCTGAGCCAACCTAAGCACTCTAATCTCAAGGCACCACGATGAGTCACCATCCCAAACAGCCCTATGGATGGACAAACCACCCCCAAGATAGGAACAGTTGGCTCTGATAGAGAAGGGACACTCCATAACAAATCAGGGGTCCCCTGGGGCAATGCCAGCAATTAACAATGTATCAATTCACGTTTAGGGATCTGAACCAAAACAAGGATAAAGAGACGCAGCAGGGCTGCTTGATTATGCACACCTTTGCTCTGATGCTTCCTTATTTATTTTATTGCTGTTTTTTAGAGCAGCGATTCTCAACCTGTGGGTCACACACCAGACAGCCTATATATCAGATATTTATATTATGATTCAGAACAGTAGCAAAATTATGTTACAAAGTAGTGACAAAATAATTGCATGGTTGGGGGCTGCCACAACATGAGGAACTGTACTAAAAGGTCGCAGCATCAAGAAGGTGGAGGACCACGTATGTAGAGTGTGTGTGAAGGGCACATGTGTGGCCACCAGAAGACAAGCTGCAGCAGGAGGTGACTCTTTCCTTCCACCGTCTACATTCTGGGGGTTGAACACAGGTCGCAGGCTTGGCAGCAAGCACTTCTACCTGCTGAACCATCTTGCAGGCCCCTGTTCCCCTACTTAAACCTAGAGTTCGGGTCAGTACAACATCTGGACCCCTTCATCTGTTAAGTCCCAACACGGCCACTATGGTTCAGTCTCCTTTCTCTACTCTTTGTCACTACTTGTCTCTTTGGTCGGACTGGGACAAGCAACTGAGCCTAGTCGATTGGATTTCCTAAGGACTTTGGCTCAAAATTCTAGTTACAATTCTAGGCAGTTCTATGCCTTGATCAGAATATATTCAGGAAGCTATGAACCTAGGCTGTAGGCCCATATTTTTTTTTTTTTTTTTTTTTTTTAGCCAGTAAGAGGCTAGAGCTAATTGCCCAAGCAGTGTTTTAATTAATACAATTTCTGTGTGGTTATTTCGGGACTAAGCTAGTCAGGCGACCAGGACGAACAAGCAGCCTCTCTCTACAACATGAGGCAAAGATTATCTATGTGAATTCGTTTCCGGGATAGCTATTTAGTTTCATTGGTCTATGTGCCTAGTTTCGTTACATATTGTTTTTATTGTCAAACATTTGAAATACAATTTGAGATGAAAGAATGTTATCTCTCAAGCTTCCTTCTTGATGGAGATTGTTTTGGTCAAATAGGGTCTTTTAAATTGCTTATGATTGTTTAGATTGTTTGATTAAATTACTATTTTTTAAAAGGCATTAAATTTTTAATAACAACTTTTTTTGGATCTGTGGATCACCTTGAATAGTTTGAACCTAACAATGCAAATTTTTAAAATTCATAAACATGGGGACATGTTCTTTTCATTTGTATCAGCCTCAATGTTTTTCAATTTTTTGCACAATCTTTGCTGTGATGTTTTCCTTTATTTAACTAGCATATTTATTTATTTATTTATTCTTTAACAATTTCTTTTTTAAAGCAATATACAGCAAACCGTCAGCTAACATCAAATTGAATGGAGAGAAACTCAAAGCTTTTCCCATATTTCTTTATAGTGTAGCAGCCAGGCTCTGAAGCCATTGGACTGATCCAAAGTGATCACGTAGCCAAGCAGACAGAAAGGTCAGGAAGTTTGTTGCTCCTTTCTTTGTAATTTGGAGGATGCCTTATAGAGATGCTAATTCAAGCCAACATGACAGCTAGCATACTCAGCAGACAGGTAGATGCAGACGTGACAAAAGACCATTCACCTGGTTGCCTAGGTGACAAATGCTGGTGTATCCCCCCCCCCACTCAATTTATGTGTTGGTATAAAAGCTGTCTGGAGAATAAACACGGGGAGATCTTCAGGAGGAAGAAGCTTGAGATGCCCTTTTCCGTAATAATGGTGTAAGCTGTATCTGGTTATTCCTTGCGTCTCCGTACCAGTCCAGTTAGGGAAAATAGCTATCTGTGTTAGAGCCACATGGGCACTAACACTAGGCCATGGACCTGAGTTGTACAAGTTCCAGCCCAACCTTGAAGCCCTAATTTATCCTCCCGACCTCAAGTCCTTCATCATTAAAATAAGAAAAATATGCCAGGCATGGTTACGTAATCTTCAATCCATCACTTGGAAGGAGAGGTGGGTAACTCTGAGTTCGAGGCCAGCCTGGCCAACATACAGAGTTCCAGGACAGCCAGGGCTACACAGAGAGACTCCTCAAAACAACAGAAGCCAGGTCAACTCACCGGGAACTTTGCTGTCTGCGCTGAAGGAATCACAATCTCACCTTCCACTCAATCCATGCTGAGAGGTCAGACTGTGGAAGGGGAGAACATTGTGAAATATCATGGCAGTCATTCCCAACAACCAACAAAGCAGTTAAACAGTTCCCTCCTGCCCACCAACCTGGAGACAATTTTCCCTCTTCCTAAACAAAATAGGGAAAGTGTACAGGGTTAACCAATATTGATGGGGACAGAAAGGGGGTCCAGGAGTGACCCCTGCAGCTGAAGGAGGTCCGGGAGCACCCCCTGCCGCTGAAGATGGTCCGGGAGCGCCCCCTACAGCTGAAGGAGGTCCCGGAGCACCTCCTGCAGCTGAAGGAGGTTCGGGAACACCCCCTACAGCTGAAATTGCCCCCAATGAGAGATTTGACAGCTTAAAGAAATAAACACTCACAAGAAGAACTCGGGATCACATGACACAAACAGTTCAAGGCTTTCATTTCTACACTAACAGAGAAGATTAAAAAGTTAAAGGGCCAGGTGGTGATGGCACATGCCTTTAATCCTAGCACCCAGGAGGTAGAGGCGGGCAGATCTCCGTGTTTGAAGCCAGTCTGGTATACTTAGCAAAATCTAGGGCAGTCAGGATTACACAGAGAGAACCTGCCTCAAAAAAAAAAAAAAAAGTTAAAGAAAGGGGAAACCCTTGTGCCAACGGATGAGTGGTAAAGGTGTCTGTCACCAAACTCGGTGACCTGAGTTCAATTCCTGGGACTCTTCAGTGAGTTGTTCTCTGACCTCCACGTGCACAGTGCAGCATGCAAGAGTGCATGCAGGCTCACGCACCTGCATTGCGCGTGTACACACACACACACAACCTAATTGTACAAACAATGTGACTTCAGGGAACCTCTCTGAATGCTGAAACATCTTTAACCCTCTCATCAGTTACTCCGTAACCTGTGCACATGTGTGTGCATATAACTGTGTGCGGAGTAACGCGTGGTCTAAGGTTTATCATTAGTTATTAAGATGGGAATAAAAGAACCCGTGACTAATGGTCAACTACCAAGTGAAATCGAGATTTCCTGGCAGGTGGCAGCCAACGAAATTGATATAGTTTGTGACCTCAATGTCCAATAAATTGACATCGTGTAAAATCACAGACGTGTTCGTCTATGAGTCTATGACAACTCGTAAAGTACCTCCTCCACCTATCGCGGTTCCCTACATTGTGGGTATGAGTCATAAAACTTTCAGGGCAGGGTTTTATGCCCTGCATCAATCCCCCAAACAACCCTGTCAGCATGGCCCTCGTACCCCAACTCCAGGCGATAGCAGTGAAGCAAGGTGTGACGGCTCACACCTGTCGTTGCAGCACTGGGGAGGCTGAGGCTGGAGGATGACCCGACCACAGGCAGAGACCCTGTCAGGGCAATGATCTCTGCGGGATGGAGGGGGGTTCACTGGAGGCTCACTGTACTCCCGCCCCGCCAGCCTGGAGCCGATTCCCCTACGGCCGCCCGCCGCCGACCCCGCAAACCTCCAGATCTAGGGCTCAGTCGAGGAAGGTGCGGGAGAGAGGAGACTCACGGGAGGACCTGCGGAGCGGATGCTAACTGAAACCACCTGGAGACACTTCCCAGAGTGCTTCGCATCGGCCCTCAGCCCAAGCTCCGGCAACAGGCAGAGAACTTGAACTACAATTCCCAGAATGCGCCGATACCGCCGGCCTCAGCAGAAGTGCGCTCAGCGCCGGAGAATTCAGACTACAATTCCCAGAAGCAACCGCGTCAGCGCTCCAACTTACAAGCGGGCCAGACACTGTGGAACTGTAGTGGTGAGGAAACCCGATCGTGAACTCGCTTTATCGAGTGTAGCTACTCTGTGCTTTGTGTGCGTGCCACACAGCTATTCCCTACTCCTCCCCGGAAATTCTTATTTGATCTGCGAGACACTGGTCCGCACTATGCAACCCGGACTGAACTCACGGTGATCCTCCCGCCTCAACCTTACCCACTCCCAAGTGCTGGGGGCGTGTGCCACGACGCCAGGCTGCCTCTGAAGTTGACACGTCCCACAGGACCCTGGAAGAAAAGTTAAGAGTCCTCACCCATAGGCAGTAATTTGCTCCTAGCGTTCCCCTATATACCTGAGTCCTAAAAGGAAATAGTACCCAGACAGCACGCCTGACAGTTCGATAAGGGCAAAGAAGAAAGCAAACCAATGCAGAGATAAAATTCTTCAAGGAATCACCAGGGAATCGGAAAAAGACTTGTGCAATGTGATACTGTGATACTAAAACGGATAAAGAATAAGCAGGACAGAATGTCTGTAAATATAGCCCTAATGTACACTTCCTGCAGGTACGGAAGAGTATTTTTTTATTTTGAAGGATATATATATATATATATAATGTATGTATGTATGTATGTATGTATGTATGTATGTATGTATATATTGTTAATTGTCCAGGTTAGCAGGACATTATGCCGCAGGTCTACATATTGAGTTCCAGGCCAGCCTAGGGTACATAGTGAGACCCTGACTCTAAGAAAAGACAATCCTATTTTAAAGTCACTAGCTATATCTAGCCAATTTTGTAAGCATGGTCTTTCTCAAATATCAGAAAAGTTCTTATTTATAGGAAACCTCAAGTTGTAGTAAGCCAGAACCAGGGGTGACCTAACTTTGACCAAACATAAGTTTGACCAACAGTTAGCCCTCCTAGATAACTGGATGGATCCACCCACTACCTCACAGACACGCACACCCCACCACCTCTTAACCCTGCCATGCTGCCTCTTCTAAGACACAGGCACACTGGTAATTCAAGTTCTCCATCTCCCTCTCCCCTCTGATAAACGATCATTTTGCCGTTTATTATCAGGCAAAATCCGTGCACAAATATTAAAGGACAAATGGGGACCCAGAACCGAGTCATAAGCCACTGCTTACACCTGCCGCTGCTCGCTGCTTCCTCTAAAGGGCCACCTTCCCTTTGGTCACATCCATCCGCAATGAAAACCCTGACTCTTGGACGAAAAATGCTCCCTTCAGTTGACTAGTTGACCGGTAACAGAATTCCTGTAACACCCCTCTCCTATCCCTCCCCGCGCCCCCCCCCCGTCTTCTGATTATCAATCCACAGGATGAACTTTTTTTTTAATTATCCCAAAGGACCACTGTCAAAAGTGTGTTTGTTTTTTTTAATCCAAATCAAATCTTGGAGTATGTGTGTGGTTCAGTGGAGATGCCGTAAAAGGCACACAGAGCAGCAAGGGAAAAAGAGTAGTTTTCACATGATATGATTGTCCACAGGGAACATCCCAAGAAACTCATAGTTGTGGCAAACAAACCCAAAATAAAACAGTCCACTGGAGTTCGACATCCGAGCAGCAAACAACTGGAAATGAAGTTAAAAAAAATTGTATCATTTAATTTAGCACAAAAATGTGGGATGCTTATGTATAAATTGAATAAAATATGTGCAGAATCTCTATGCTGAAAACTACAGATCTCTATTGAATGGAACCCAGAGTCCTGCGCAAATCATACTGTATTGATTGCTGAAACAGACAATATTGTTAAGATGTTAACTGTCCAGAAATTAATTGTGTATCCAGTGCAGTCCCAAACGAAACCAGAGCTTACATTTAAAAATCACAAATCTGATTCTAAACATTACTGAGAAGCAAACTGAGGAAAGGGATGAGAAGAGACAGAGACAAAAGCAGGGACAAAGCTCTAAATCTGAGAAAATGGCTGAGCTGTCCACGGTGTCACCATGGAAACCCAGCATGTGCTGGTAGAACCAATTCCTGGCCTTAAAGCAGAACCAGATGAGAGCAAGTCTGCTCCTTTCTTGTGGTCATTGCTGGGCCCAGGATTCCACCCTTAGAGAGGGACTTTTAAGCTCGAACTATCAGCATCTAAGGTGCTTTTCATGACCAATATTTGTCATCCTAAGGTAGACAAGTTGGAAAGAATATGTTTAGACATTTTTAAAGGTAAGTGGTGCCTGGTATTGCAGATCCACACAGTTCTGCCCTCGATCCAGGCTGTGTTTAGTGCCCCCATTAGCAAATGATGTGTGTTTTGGAATAGAATATTTGTTTAACTAAGTAAAGATGTGTTGTACTTGTTTATGTAAAGATGTGTCGCTGTTTCACCTTGCCTGCCTAGAGTACCTGCATGGTCTAATAAAAAGCTGAATGGCCAATAACTAAGCAGCAGAGGGATAGACGGGCCTGGAAGGCAGAGAGAATACGTAGGAGGAGGAATCTAGGCTTGAGAGAAAACGAAGGAGAAAGAGAGGGAGACACCAGCCAGCCAGACACAGAGGAAGCAGGAAAGTAGGGCATACAGAATGAAAAAAAAAAGGTAAAAAGCCCTGAGACAAAACACAGATGAAGAGAAACAAATTAATATAAGAGCTAGTGGAACAGACCTAAACTAGGCCAAGCATTCATAATTAATGCTCTTGTTTTGATTTGGGAGCCAGCAGGCCAAGAAAGCCTGTTATATTTGGCACCCAACAAAGGGCACATACTTCTATGTAGGGCCTAAGAAAGATGGGGGAAAAATTTTTTAAAAAATCAAACAAAAAATGGCATGGCTTCCTGGTAACCTGGTGCTCATAGTGTACAGAGGTGCAGCTCTGCCATAGAGTGAGTGCTTGAGCACTTGGAATGTTAAATAGAAGCAATAAATTAAGTAAAAAATGCCTGGTATAGTGCAGGCACCAACTTTCTGGAGCTGGGGTTGTTAAATGCACCTCCTGGTTAAACACAGCTCCCAGTTAAATACAGCTCTCGCCCAGGCCCATGAGACATAAAGCTCAGCTTTCACAGACCTGAGCAAGGCAGAGAGAGCTGCCAGCACAGAGCCTCTTAGCAATTTAAGGTCTGGCTCACACAGGTAGAAAAGGCTGCAGGCATGTAGTAAAGCAGGTCCAGACTGAAAAGAAAACTCTAAACAGGCGACAGTGTGTTTTAAAATGTGTGTAGATGCTTAAGTGGTGCAGGAGAATTGTCTGTATTCTATCCATCATATATTTTAATAAAACGCTGATTGGCCAGGCAGGAATTATAGGCGGGTCAACCAGACAGGAAGTAGGGGCGGGGCAATGAGAATAGGAGAAGGCTAGGGAGGGAGGAAGCTCCTTCCGCCATTCCTACCCAGATCACCAAAGAAGCAACATGTGAGCCAACAGCTGGAAAAGGTACCAAGCCATATGGCTAACATAGATAAGGATAATGGGCTAATATGTGTTATAAGAGCTAATAAGTAGCCAGAGCTAAGAGCCAATCAGTTTATAATCTTAAGGAGTCCTGTGTGTGATTTTCTTTAAGACTTGCCGGTTGTGGGGTACTGGGTGGGACAGAAACCCCAACAAGCCAGCCCGGCCCTCATGTTACAGATGGTGCCCAACGTGGGGCTCAAACCCACGACCCTGGGATTAAGAGTCCCATGCTCTACCCACTGAGCTAGCCGGGTGGGAGCCGGGCAGAACAAAAAGTAGGCCTGCCTGTAGCTCCTCACTACACTTAAGAAAGAAAAGAAAATGGGTATAGTCAGTCATAGAAATGATATTTTATAATAATAAATATAAAAAATAAATAGTTTAAAATAATTAAGTAATCACAGAAAGATGGAAAATACACAAGGAGTGTGGATCCTGTACGATGTTGTTTTGACTTTGGATTTTATTTTATTTTATTTTATTTTATTGGTTTTTCAAGACCAAAGGGCTTCTTTGTAGTTTTTGGACCCAGTCATAGAACTAGCTCTTGTAGACCAGGCTGGCCTCGAACTCACAGATCCATCTGCCTCTGACTCCTGAGTGCTGGGATTAAAAGTGTGCATCACCACTACCAGGTTGACTTTGAATTGTTTTGTTTTTATTTTATTTATTTGTTATGTCTACAGAGTTCATTCCTGTATGCCAAAAGAAGGCACCAGATCTCATTGTAGATGGTTATGAGCCACCTTGTGGTTGCTGGGAATTGAACTCAGGACCTCTGGAAGAGCAGCCAGTGCTCTTAACCTCTGAGCCATCTCTCCAGTCCAACTTTGAATTGTTTTCATGCTGATGAACAATCAACAGCTTCTAAGAGACACTGGACTGCTGTATTAAATGAGCCTAGATACTTTAGGGATGCCTTAACTTTAAAATGGAGTTCAGAAAACGTATTGAATTGGGACAGAGGCTATGTTTTTGTTTCCACAGGAAACAGAAGGCTGTGGAGTCATTCAAAGTTAATAGAAATCAGGTTTGATCAGAGGAGACCTCCTGGTAATCTTGGCTACAGACATAAAAAAGTAAACCAAGAAAAATTATAAGATAGGAAATGCATATACTGAACCCTCTTCATGGGAACAGTTCTAATACTGGACAACAAACATTACAACTAGTTTTCCAAGGACTTAACCATTATCTCAATTTTCTTAGGCCCCCCTGGGATTGCTGTCACCCTCAGAAAGCAGATCAAACACAATGCCCACATTCCCAAGAGGTATGGTGGATGAGTTTTGTCATTCAGTGAGTTCTGAATGTTTGTCATTGTTTATGGGGGGGGATACAGGATAAAAAGATAACTATTAACCTCAAATATTTTACATTGGTATGGATTTTGGTATATTGATACAGATTTAAAGTTATTTTTGTTACACTGTGCATATGTCTCCACTCTTGTTTGGGGTATTGTGCTTATGCAGCTCATTTAAAAATGTAATGTATGATGAAGAAGTACAGGTTAATGATTAGTCATCTATAATAATCAAATCTGTAGTTATGTTAGTCATGTATATATAGTTAAACACGTAAATTTTAGATAGGAAATGATCTTCAAACACTTCAGAGACCTACAGAATAAGGCATTTAAGATGTTTCAATAACCTAAGGCTTTTCATGACATTGAGATGTGTCTGCTCCAGGCAACACCAATCTATTTCATAAAAGGGTGATAAAGGATGATGGGCACTGAAGAACCTCCACATGGAGTTTGCCTTCAATGTGGCAAAGCTAGCCAATTGAGCAAGAAACTGCCCTTGCCTCAACTGCTGACAGTATACCATCTAAACTGTACATTCAGAAAACAAAGGAAAGTGACTACCAGACTTTACCAAGACAAGGCAGGAAAATCCTTCAAAATTCATGCTTCACAGAAAAGTCTGTCAGATATTCCAGACCTGTAGGCCAAAGATGGATGTCCCAATGTTGCTGAGGAACTTTGAGTAACTATCCAAACAGCCAGATGTCTCTGTCATTTCTATAGTTTTGGAAGTGGCTTTCATTGTACTTCCTGTTTGCTTAGGTAATATTATATACTTCAGGGGTTGTTGATGCTGTTGAAGACTAGATATAGTTACAGTCTCTGCTGGCAAACTCCCTTAGTGGAATGGAGAAGAGAAGTAACAACTTCTGCAGAAGCAGAAGCCAACTGCTACATTTCTATGGGGGTGTCCCCTTTAGCAGAGTGAGGCAATTAAGTAACAACTTTCACCAGAACAGAGAAGCAACTGACATCTCTAGGAGGAAACTCTCTTAGCAGAATGGTGAGAGCTGAACTATAATGGCTCCCTAGGAGGGGAACAGGATTGCTACATCCCTTGGGAAAATTATCCACCCACCAGAACACAGCTATAGATATGGCCTGACTTCCAGGCAGTCAGGATACCTTTCTCTTCAGAGCTATAGGTATCCAGGATACCTTCCCTTCACAGAGATAGGTATAGACTGGCTTTCAAAAGTCAGGATACCTTTTTCCCTTCAGAGCTGGAACACTTGCACTGGATATTGTAAATGTAATTCCTAATTGATAATTGTTCTTATTATTTATAGTTTTACTATGATAAATAAAAACCTTTTTATTAAAACAAAGAGGGAAATGTTGTGGAATAAAATATTTATTTAACTATGTAAAGATGTGTTACATTTATGTTGCATAATAATTGTTTCAGTATATAAAGATGTGTTACATTTGTTTATGCTACATTTGTTTTACTATATAAAGATGTGTTGCTTTTGTTTATGCTGCATTTGTTTAAGGATGTAAATATGTGCTGTTTCACTTTGCCTGCCTAAGCCATCTGATTGGTCTAATAAAAAGCTGAACAGCCAATAGCTAGGCAGAGAAGGAATAGGCGGGGCTGGTGGGCAGAGAGAAAAGGGGCCAGCCAGCTGGGGGCCAGACAGACAGAAGACGCAGGAAAGCATAGATGAGGTAAATGAGTCTCAGGGAAGCACATAGATTACTAGAAATGGAATAATTTAAGTTAAAGAAAAAAGGGCTAGCTAGAAACAAGCCTAAGCTAAGGCTGAACATTCAGAATTAATAAGTCTCCATATTATGATTTGGGGGCTGGCAGTCTAATAGAGCCTGCTACAGATGTAGTCAAGCAGTGGAAGATGAACAAAACCAAGCCACAGAAAACACCAAGAGCATGAACTAGGCTATGTACCAAGAATAATATTAAAGTCAATCAGATCACCAAGCGTCCATCACTTCTCCTGCTCTGTCAAGACTTCTTCCCTTTTTTCCCTTGAATTCGGTGGGTATGGTCTTAGAAATATTGCAGAATAAAAGCCCAGGCACCTTCATCTTTGGTGAGCAGAGGCTAGAAGTATCATCCAGATTATTGTGAAATGCTTAAAAGCTGTGAATCTCTGCTTGAATTCACTTCCTCATTGTGGTTTAAATACAAAGCACTGTGAATAAAGGTAGTTGTCAGGGTTAGTTGCCAGTGATATATGTGTCTTTATTTTACTTTTTAGGGGGAAATAGTTTTATTTTAATTTTATGGTCTCCTCCCTCTTCCCCTTTCTTATGGGATTTAATTGCAGAAAATTGAACTAACCAGCTTTTTAGAATATGCTTTCTAGCCAAGTCTAACTTTAGATGCTGTAGATGGACAGGCTTGACTGTCTGAACCAAAGTGAGAACATTAAATAAACATCACAGCCCTCACTAATAATGTTGTGACTTTGCTGTCAAGTGTAGATTCCCCTCACAAACAAAGATGATGAAAACTTGTGACTAGTTTGTATGATTTGTCTGGAAACTTCTATAAATCTTATGTTTTAGTAAAATATTTTTTGTTACACAAAAAAGAAGAGGAGGAGGAGTCAAATTAATTTTGGAATAGATTGGAGCTGGAAGACTCACACTGATTCCAATGAATCATATGAAGCTACTCTGTTTATTTTTAACAGCTCTGATTACACAGTATCTGGCAAAACATCAGACAGGAACATTAGGAGACCCTGAGCCCAGTAAAAGACGAACACATGGATAACCACATAAGTGTGATAAATTCAGTGTAGAAAAGGCAGAGAATTGGAGGTCCATATGACCTCACACTTATGCAAAGTTAGCTGAAATGGATTAGTTGTTGATGACAAACCTCAAAGGGGGGAACAAACTCAGTGCCAGCCCCGTGTGCAACAACTTACAATCACCTATAACCACAGCTCCAAGGGATCTAAGGACTCTGGCCTCTGTGGCACCTGCACACACAGTATGCACATACACACACTAAGACAGACACATCCATACACAACTTAAAAATTTTTAAAGATTTTTTTAAAGTTAAACATAGTCCTATTGTATATTCCATCAATAGTCTTAGATATTTATGAATCCAAAAGAAATGTTAGGTTATATATGAAATAGTGTGAAATGCTTATAGCTGCTTTCTTCATAATCACCAAATCTGGAAATCCAAACACTGTTCAAAGTGGTGAAAGAATAGAGAAATGTGGTGTACCCACAAAAAGAATACTATCCAGCAAGGAAAGGGAATGATAGGATGAGGGATGAAGCTGAGTGGGGGAACATTTGCTTAATATGTGAAACTCTGGGTTCAATCACTAGTTACCCCACAAAGACATATATACAAGATGGGTGAATTAAAGAATTACACCAAGTGAAAAACCTTAGATTCAACAGGCTACAAACCATAGGATCCCATTTATGACATTTTGGAAAAAGTAAACTGTAAGGAATAAAACAGATCAATGGTTGATGTGGGATTCCCCTCTGGATGCTGTGAATATGATTTATTACCATTGGTTAATAAAGAAGTGGTTTTAGCCTATGGCAGTGCAGAATAGAGTTAGGCAGGAAAACTAAACTGAATAAAAGGAGAAAGAAGGCAGAGTCAGAGAAACATCATGTAGCTGCAGAAGGAGAAAGATGCTGGAACCTTCCCAGTAGGCCACAGCCTCATGGTGATACACAGATGAACAGAAATGGGTTAACTTAAGATGTAAGACCTATATAGGAATACACCTAAGCTATTGGCCAAATAGTGTTGCAATTATAATATAGTTTCTGTGTGATTATTTGGGTCTGGGCAGCCGGGAAATGAACGCGCAGTCTCCACTTACAATGGGTGCTACAGTAACAATGGGAACCACAAGAAGAGAAGTTCAGGGCAGGGGGTTACTGGAGCTGTTAGCTATCTTGATTGTGCTAGTTACGTGACAAGATTTTTCAAAACTCAGAATGATATACAAAAGTCAATTTTGCGTAAATATATCCATTTAAAGTTATTTTAAATGCTAGTTTTCATAATTTGTTTAAAAGAAACTTTTTGTGATTGGGTGTGGTGGTACACTCCTTTAGTCTCAGCATTTGGGAGGCATACAAATTTTTTTTAATTTCAGACCAGCCAGAGATACAATGAGATCTAGCCTTCCCCCCAATTTATTTTTGGGGTGGTGTGTGTGTGTGTGTGTGTGTGTGTGTGTGTGTGTGTGTGTCATGGTGCACATATGGAGGTCAGAGGCCAACTTTGAGGTGGGGGTCAGTTCTCTCCACCATGTGAGTCCTGGGGCTGAACTCAGGTCATCACATTTAGCACCAAGTACCTTCATCCACTGAGACAATGTCACTGGTCCTGCTTGAGGTTTTGTTTGTTTGTTTTGTTTTTTGTGACAGGGTTTCTCTGTGTATCTGCCCTGGCTTTCCTGGAACTCACTCGGTAGACTAGGCTGGCCTTGAGCTCACAGAGATCCACTTGCCTCTGCCTCCCAAGTTTTGGAATAAAGCCACCATACCCAGTTTCCTGTTTGATTTTTTTTTTAAAGACAAGGCCCAGACTGGCCTCACATTCACTATATAATTAAAGCTGGTGCTGAGATTGCAGGTGTACACCACCATATTTGGCCCTACCTCCCCAGTACTGAGATTGCAGGTGTGCACCACCATATTTGGCCCTACCTCCCCAGTACTGAGATTGCAGGTGTACACCACCATATTTGGCCCTACCTCCCCAGTACTGAGATTGCAGGTGTACACCACCATATTTG